ATGTTACAATTTATCAGTTACAACTTTATCATACAATGCAGTTTTTTCCTTAATTTTAATCACAATTAATTCCAAAATCACATTTTTGGAGTTGGGACAATATTGCGAATTAGGCTGATGATATGTATATTAATTTTAATAAATATTATTGTATACAAAAAATTGGGGTGTACAATTATACGCCATCGAGTCCAACATTAGAACTCGGATCACCTATATAGTATTACAGTATAATATACCGACTCTGTGGAGTGTGCGAATAACACGCCTGGAGCGTCTTCTAAGTATACTACTCACGATTTTTAACAGTATCTATTAATGTTTACCTACCACTGAAGCTCAAACTTACGGAGCGGTGTTTGCCGCAGAGACGTGTACATGGTTGCACGTTTATTTCAGTGTGTATTCGGTTATTTCCATATCACGATGCAGAACAAATAACATTATCCGCAGGCATATAACACCGAGCTGTTTGCGAATAGGTAAATACTATAATATAATTCGTAACTAGTCGAAACGGAGAGGCGTGGACTTATAATATATCGCTCATATAATATTATGCGCACCCGTACATGGCTCGATTTTAGGGTGGTTAAACGGAAGGTGAAGTAAATCATTTGTCAACCACTCTAGTATAGATAATTTTTAATTTTTTTACTACCTATCATGAAAATCGATGACATCCATGACAATACAATATCCACCTGCGTGACCATATAGGATTATTACATATATTTATGCAATGCGAATGAGGTAGATATAATAGATAGGTATTAATACATAGTACATACTTTATAATAATACGTTTAATATGAGTAACATAATAATATTAATAATATTAATTTAATACAGAACAAAACAGGTGGCGAAGAGCCGACGATGGTACAGACGTACAGTGAATGAAATACGTGCATAATCGTGTTTAAACTTTTTAAACTCTATAATATACATATTACTGGTCTATCTTGTCACCAGAACCACAACAACAAAGGAACCGCCTGACAAATTTCTTTGTCTGGCGCCAAAATGAACGACGAGGACGTGTGTGTCTCGGACTTTCCGGTTTCCGTACATAGCTGGTGACCTGCTGAAACTTCAGATTTGGCGTTGATCGCCACCCAATATCTGCAGCTGTCTCGCCAGCTAAATTTGAATGTACTGGGATATTTGGTTCAGATATACAGAACCTGCCGTCCAGAAAACCTTTGGAATCAAAATTTTTCGACGATTCCGGTTTCCGTACATCGCTGGTGACCTGCTGAAACTTCAGATTTGGCGTTGATCGCCACCCAATAACTGCAGCTGTCTCGCCAGCTAATTTTGGATGTACTGAGATATTTGGCTCAGATACACACAGCCTGCCATCCAGAAAACCTTTAGAATCAAAATTTTTCGACGATTCCAGTTTCCGTACATCGCTGGTGACCTGCTGAAACTTCAGATTTGGCGTTGATCGCCACCCAATATCTGCAGCTGTCTCGCCAGCTAATTTTGAATGTAAGGGGATGTTTGGCTCAGATACACAGAGCCTGCGGTCCAGAAAACCTTTGGAATCAACATTTTTCGACGATTCCGGTCTTCGTATATCATTGGTACGGTTAAACTTCAGATTTGGCGTTGATCGCCATCCAATATCTGTCGATTTGGCTGAGGAATTTTCACACATCGCGGCCATGTTAGGCATAGATACACATCTATATGACATATTTATTTGAAAATATTATATAGGCACAATTAACGGAGAAGATTATACAGAAATACGTATAAGAATGAAATTTATCCGTAATGAACACAAGAAATGAATATTGACAAGTGGTAACTATGTGACACAGATATGAATTGTAGATTTTTGAAACATTCACGTACATGGCAACGATATTTTAGTTGTTTGTGTTGTTTTCTTAGAGCCAATATTAATAATGTTAATGAAGTTGAGAATTTCATAATGCTTTACCAAGAATTTTCGAAAACTAATTGGATTCGTGTTGGTCAGCTTGACAATCCATCAAGGTAAGTAAAAATTGTTCTCATTATTTGATTAATATTAATGTATAAGACATTTTGTTTTTCAGAGTCATGTTTCATAAATATTGCGTATGCAAGCACAGTAAGGTGACTTCATTAACATTATTAATATTGGCACTAAGAATCGAGGTCTTTTCATTTATATTAGAAACTTCATTTGATAGAACCGCAATGATATTATTATTTTTTAAGAACTTAATGAATTCATCCATTATGAATACAATATAATTGATTATTCAGAAATGCAGAAACAGAGAACTACCACCAACAAGTTAAATACCCAAACAACCAGAGCTTAAAAATACCTAACTAGTGAAAATGCTAAGATGCTTTAAACACTAACAACTTAAAATTAAAAGTACAACTATAACAGAGATGTACAATTAAAGTTTAAACATGACAGCAAGTCAAAAATCAATTTAATATTCCTGTTGACAAATTAATAATAGCTGGTAGGTAGTCTGGTAGTCAATAAATAAACCATGTGACTATACTGTTATCAGTTTGATAAATTTAGATTATAATTTAGGAGCTATATCTACATATATTTTAGTGGCGACATAAATTAATTAATATTTAATAAACGAAGTAGGTACCAAGATGTAAATAAGATAAACTTCTGTTTAAATTTTTGATATTTAGGAAGTCATGTTGTATATTCAGAGCTCAACTGATGTGCCATGTGGTACCTGCAGCGATTGTTCCCAGCTTTTTCACCCCTAAATACTGTGCATAGACAGAAATTTAACATGCTCCTCGCATGGTCATCATAGTAAAAAAAAATACTTTAAAATATGTTGAATATGAAAAAACATTAATGTTGGACAATCAAATGCAAAATCCCATGATAGAGGTCTCTGAACATATAACATGTATTTTTCATTGTTTTTACATAGTTTTTTTTCATTCGAATTAATATTTTATGACTTCATTGTGAAGTTTATACTGGAATTACATTTAATTATATTATTATTTGTGACTAGGTATACTGTTATCAGTTTGATATATTTAGATTATAATTTATAATAAACTTAGTAGATGTAGAAGATAAACTTCCCTACATCATAAAATAAACAAAATTTAATGTAATATAATAACAAATTGTTTAATCGTTTGCTAAAATAATTGGTAAATCTGAGTTCAAAATTGTTACCTCATCAAATTATAATAAAATTGAATGGTATATTTTATAATAATTGCCATTATAATCTATATAGGAATTTGTAACACCTATAAAGTATTATCGGGTAGGTCAAATTTTTGAATTTTGTTAGTAAATTTTTGTTATTTAGGGAGTCATGTAGTACATTCAGGACAATTAAATCACATTCAGAGCCCAACTGACTGCATTTTAACATGCGAGGTGGTCATCATAGTAAAAAAAAATACTTTAAAATATGTTCACAGTTTTAAATGTTTTTTTTTTGTCTAATATTTATATACTTTCAATGATCGTGTAACACTGTAACCCCTACCTACCTCTGACTATGTAGGTAGACATGTATGTATTATTTTTTACCTACCTTAATATATTTTGTTTACTTAATACTTGTATAACATTTTAAAAAGATTGAATTAGTTAAGTTATAAATGTGTAAAAAAATATTATTTATAAACCACTGCTGATGTAGGTAGTAATGTAGTGTACCTACAAATATAAAATTGAAAATAATAACAGGGCTTTTCAGTCATCGATGAACTAGACTACCAAACTAGACGTCCAAAATTGTTTTTGCACCATTCATGTGAAGTTACAACTATTTCTTTAATTGGATAGTAATTTGGTTAGCTTCAGTAGCTACCATTCCATATATTATTAAAATAATCATTGAACACTAGTTCAATTCGTGCCTCTAAAAATAGTTATGTCTTTATTAAAAATACAATACATATATTAATGTTAGAGCATGAAATTTTAGTAAGGTACCTACCTATTTTAATTAAGAATCTTATGTTTTAGTAAAAATAAAACATTTAAGTAAGATTGGTATTTTGTTTCTATGTTAGGAAGAACCTAGACAATCTTTTTAGCTAACACAAAAGGTGTGTACAAGTACAATACACTTTTTTTTTTTTTCGTTTGAACCGACAGCAGAGGAGGATATGTGTGAACACTACTACTCCTCAAGTACAATACACTTAGTCCAGTAAGAAATGTTCACTCTGAGGTATGTATAGGTACCTACTAAAGTAAAAAATAAAAATAACTGTGTAGAGATCACATTCAGATTCTATATTAATTTATTGAATTATAATAACATAATAATATTGTTTAATATTAGTTAGGTACCTTTTCCTACTAAATAGTTATTTTAATTTGTTTAAATTAAATAATATAATATAATATTTAAATTAATATTATATTATTAAATTAAATTAAATTATTTGATAAATGATAAAAAAAAAGCGGGCAATTTGAAATGGGCCAATGAGAACGTGGTATACATAAGGCGCTCTGTGGCGTCCTGGGTTTCCTAATACGCGTCCCGTTACACAATTATTATACAATTATAATATAACTATCTAGTTAGAATACAAGTATAATAATAAGTGCTCATTAACTTAAATTACATTCGGTTGGCGAATTTATTATTTGTACTCTAGCTACGGATGTAAGGATTTTAATAGTTTTGTGTTGAAAGTAGGTAATGGATTATAAATACAATTTTTTTCATTATTAACGATTTGAGTAGATAAATAAATAAATAAATATTTTATTTTTGTGCGATGATTTATTATTTATTATTTTTTTTTTATATAATAAATTACCCTCGGTGACATACTATAGGCCATTGCAGGGATACAAGTATTATTTACATCCAGAACTTTGTATGTATAAATAATAAATTATACTCTATTATATACCTATGAATACTAAGAATAACACTAGCGTATAAACAATGTAAAAATAGATCAACTAATTTCTTTAGACTATTATATAAAAATAAAAATGTTAAGTATCCATAGCTTAAGTATTAGGTTTTTTTAACGATTAATTTCAATTCTTTTTCATTTAGTACAGGATCCTCGTATGTATTCCATTTTTGTATATCCGATGTTCCAAAAACTGTGTAAATTAACCCAGAACATATGCATATCGCTCCAGATAAATGAAATACTTTACACCATTGACCCAATGTTTGCTGAAAAAAATGCATGTATTATACCTACTATTTTATTTAATACCTATAGGATATATCCTATATACTATATTACATACCAATAAGATATATTTTTAATATCCACACCAAGACTAGAGTAACCTGGGGCAAAATGAATTATTTGTGTATAAGTAATTTAATAATTGCTATCTGGTAAAACATTTTTCATTTTTGTTATTATGATTATGTTATCATAGCCAAAAGTGATAAAACATTTTTTTCAGCAGTTGATGAAGTTTTGGCGGCAATATGAGGTAAAATATTTATTGTATTGATCTGATGTAATATTTGAGTAGTATAGAAGTAGTAAATAGTAATGTGTACTATATAACAACACGTTAGATGTTGCTTTTATATATATTCGTTTAGTGCAAGTAGGTGACTAAACGTCAATACTAGTAAAATATTATTTATTAATATGATAACAACTGAATATACTACAATACTGTTTATGCAGAAAATAATATTGGGGTAAAATGGCTTAGTGGGTTTTGGGGTAAGAGTGCTCAGTATTTCTTATATGATTATTGATTAGGTACCTACTTACTTTTATAAACATTTAATTTTTCTAGCTTCAAATTTAATAATTTCATCTATTTATTCATTAATTTATTTAAACTAATAGGTACATTATATCTACGATGTATTAACAAATGATGAAATAATATTATGTAAATTACTTATTTAAATTACTTCTACTTAGTATTTACTACTAATACTGTATTAATTATATATTATATTAGGAACTATTATATATTATGCATGCATATTATATATATTTATAACTTATTATTTGATAAAAATAAAATAGATAACATTCTTTTAATAAAATAGATTTTTATGAATTAATTTAGCATGCGGCCCATTACCCCATTAGGTGCGCAGTGTGCACCTCAGTAATGAGGTAAAAAGACGCATTTGTTATAATTTCTAATTATTTCTAATTTTTGGTATTTTCTTTGGTAAAATCAACTTTTGACCGGAAAATTGAAATCTACGTAATATTTATGATAGGAAAACAATATAACAATATTTCTAAAACGTGTATGTTACCACATACCAGCTGTTAAATGTTAGGTGCGCCATTATACCCCAGGTTACTCTAATGGTTTGGATTTCGGCATCCGGTGTATCGTGTATTTTTTTTTTTTAGTTTTAATGTTAATGTACCTACTTAGTACTTAATTTGTGATTAAAACACCTGCAGCCATAATAGAACTCATTATAATCCTAATAGTTATTTTATAATATTAAAGATAAAAATAAAATAAGCTCACTTGATTAAAGGTTAAATAACCCACAATTATCGGTGAAATAAATCCTGAACACATAGAAACAGTTCCAATAATTCCTAGAATCACTCCTATATAAGGAAAAACATATTTTGAATTATAATAACACACAAAAAACTATAATTTAGGTATAATATTATAATATTATAATTTATAGGTATATTAATTAATATAATAATATAGTTAATTTATAGATGTATGGAAATGAAATCAAATACCACTCACTCACTCATTGCTACATCTCATAAGTCATAAATTACAAAACATATGAAATATGAACTTGATTTTAGGAATAGTGGTTCCTCAGTTTCTATAATGATCTGGATTTGCAATAAGAAAGGATTTTCTCAAATTTGCATTTTAAAGTGGTGAACTAACAAGGAATTTGAGATTCACGATGGAAATTGTAAATTTTTTTTGTATATAAATAATTGCCATATAGGTTCCAGATTATAATTGTAAATTTCAATAATAGAATTTATTATTGTTTTTTATATAAATGATTTCCATTGGTACTCTGTCAGATGAGAAAAAACATGCATAAAGTATTCAAGTTGTCGAGCTTATGGTGCCTCGAATAAACAAATTACTTATAGGTAATAGGTACATCTTAAGACAATCAATATGAGAGTTGTTGATTTATAAAATGATTCTTCTATATGTTAATTGATTGGACTCAAAAACCACTCTATCGATTTTGACGAAAATTCCAGAGATTCTTCTTAGAGCAGTTATCAGGAAAGATTAATTAGTAGTTTGAAAATTCAAAAAAGTTCGAAAATATACCAAAAGCTATAAAATCTGAACTGAGGTACACCAAAACTAGTATACACCAATATAAAACCGTATTTTGTATTAATTGATAATTTTTTCTCTGGTGAAGTCGTGTTATACTTCATCTATATCAAAAACCACCGTCCACCGGACAATCGATGGCACGTTGTATCCAATCCGTAGGTTGGATAAAATAAAAACGAAAAACTTGGTATAAATTTGAAACTTTAGAAATTATACACTTACATCATATACACCTCGCGGGGTAATATAGGTACTGCTCGCATAATCACAACTATTCACAAGTGAGTCTGACGGGCCCCTATCTGGCACGTTGAACGCAGGGCAAAAATCATTAACTTTCCCAGCCTTGATTATATATAATACCATGTTTATAAGATTGAATTCTAGTATTGTTATAGTTATGAATTTATGATATTAATTGTACACGGAAAATAAAATTACCCAGGTAAAATATATTTATTTTTTTTTGTAAGGGGCCCATTGGAAATTATTGTGCCAGAGGCCCATCATTAGCCAGACTGACACTGATTATAGTTATACGCGGTACCTATCTACATCGGTATGACGGTATTGACTTACAAGCTAATGACAATATAACATAAATATAATGTTGTATGATACCTATATTATAATAATATAATAAACATATAGCTTTTGGCAACAAGTTGTCAACACCTCAGAATAATTTTACTATACAATTATTTATCATTGAATTCAAATTTAGCACACCTGTTACAATAGCCAAGTACCTACCTACTTACTATAGATGGCTTTCGTTGTCTACAGGTTCTAAACTAGGGTAATTAAATTAAACATTAAATTATTGTACATTTTCTATATAGGTAGGTTACCTATAGTGGCTAGTAAATATTAGATACACAATTATTTAAATGTATTTTAAATAATTTACCTGCATAGTTTGGAGCTATATCCACCACTGAAGCGAGTGGCCCAGAAGATGCTGCGCCGCTTACAGCAGTTGCGCAGAAAAGCATGATTATTGCAACTACCGAGTTACATCCAGAATAACAAAGACCCAAAATGAACAACCCTTGTAAAATATTACCTATATTCAATAGTAAATAAATAATATAAAACAACAAATTAGTTATAACACTATGAATATCATAAAAGCTAATTAATTTATATATCTCTTACAAAACACTGTTGCAAACTTGCGTACATTGGTCAAAGACATTCTTTTAGATTTCACTAAACTATCGCATATCATACTAAATCCAAAAGAAAACGCCCATCGAAAGAAGTGAGGCATTCCAGACCATAAACCTGTCTGAGAAATGTATGTTTTTACAGTTGTAATTGTTAATTTTCATGGTTTACCTGTTTTATATTTAAACCTAAGACAAAGTTAAAATATGACGGAGCTTGAGTTGCAAGTGTAGATAAGCCCCAGATACTTCCAGTTTGAGTCACTAAATTAATCATCAGAGCTTTAGATAAAAGTATTGATTTCCAAGGTATCGGTAACTACAACAATATTGAAATAATGGTATACAATATATTATAAGACATATAGTAACAGTAATAATATATTTTATTTTAATAAAATATCAATAATTTACCCATCATATTATTATTTAATAGTATTTATAGATATTGTAAATTATTTATAAAGATATTTTATAAATATAGCAACAAGTTTTTTGAAATTAATTTGTTTTAATATTTTGCTATCTACAATAGTATATTAAAATTATTTATATTGCTTTTCTTAGGTCTTAACACTCTCCACATTCAATGAATTGAAAAAATAATAAATATTAATTGTTGTTTTAATTTATGTATTAAAAAGAAACATATTTTTATTTGAATGCTATACGTTTACGATAGTTGTCGGTACAATTTATGTTTTATGTACGGTACATAGTTAGACGTTAGTATCTGAATAAACTAATTGCCTACCTTAGATCTTGCCAAATTCTTATTCCCAAATTACCATTATCCCGAAAAACCAATTTACAAAAACAAAAATCCTAAATTAATTTCTTTATTTGAAAATATTGTTTTAGGTTGTATAGGACATAGCCACATAGGTGTCGCCACTGTTCCATTACCCGTACAAAAGATTTATTATTTTAAATAATTAAATTTGTAAAAAAATGTATAGGTATGCTATATTTCTACTCATTATTATGATGGTAATATAATATGTAACCAAAGGCTATCATTTAAATAAACAAAACAAAGTAAGCTGAAAAAAATGTCATGCGTGTGAGCTAGCTATATAGCTACCTAGCAATAGCATACAGCACCTCTATAAAATGTGAATTTTGGAAAATCTTTTCTTAGTGTACCATTCACAGTGGTCCGAAGGTAATGACAGTTTCAGGACTCTAGCTATTAATGTTTAGGCTTTACATTGATCAGTCAGTCTGTCTGCAGGACGAGTTCGATTATATATATAGATATTAGATAGTAAAATACCTGCTAAATAGTAAATACTTATAATTGTAACAAGTATATATATTATATAATAATGGGTAGCTAAGTAATTTATATGTGCAATGAGCAATATCGTCATAAAGATAAGTAACTGGTCCCAAATTAGTAAATACATAATTAATAATTCACTTTATGTGAGTGTTCAATCTCATAATCTCCTGCATATACGTCCATCGGCCGTCCACATTGAAAAAAAGGTTTAAAGATATGTAAAGAGGCAAAGAATTAGACATAGTTAATGTGTGTAAGTATAAATTATTGGTTAGCAAAAAAAGACAATATTTTGGTATTGAATAGAGTAGAAATGAACACTCTTCGACGAATGACCGTCTATAGATTTTTTTAGAATAGCACACAACATAACAGTATAACACTATAGTCTATAATTTCATAAAATTAAAATAATTCGTTTTTCACATTTAACAAAAACAATGGAACTAATGGAAGAATAAATTGTTGATAATAACAAATAACAAAAATAGGTAATATATTATAATATTATCTACCCTGTACCCACCATTATGTGCACGTATACGGTATACATAATGCCATTTATTATGAATACTATGGAGTGCCTATTGATGTCCAACTGCGCCACTGCGATACAAAATACGCTACACTATCGACTAGTAAATTTAATAGATCGCTAGTAGATTTAGCGTAATGTATTTTGTACAACAGTTAGATATAGATATAAATCATAATCAATAATAATACATATTATACACATATTATTTATAGACTATAATCTAACAAACTAACAATACAAAATTTGAATACAGAATATTAATTTTGGATTTTTGTTTTCATGAAATGGTCATTAAGAAAATATGGATTCAAGAAACATTTAGGGTGTATAGCTTCCTCATAAACTAAATAAAGTAATAATATAATTAAATATCAGTATTTAAATAACTGCAGCACACATTGTCCATGCCTTTTCTTACCGGTTTTGATCTAGTTTGTATGGTTTCAACAATACAATTTTCTATGTATGTTCTTTCTTTACTACTGATCGTAGGATGTTTGGCTGGAGTATCATAGACTAGTAAATTCCAACAAATATACCATAATAGACCAAGTCCTCCGCTAACATAAAATACACTCTCCCAACCAAAGGTGGCGATGAGATATCCACACATGACATATGTTACTGCGACGCCAATCGAACTTCCTTTGCATATAACAAAAAATAAAATACATATACCTACATAATATATAATTATGTAAATATATTTATAAAATAAAACACCAGAACACATATCTATATTTCTCTATGTGGTTATTATGATAAATACAAAACCTTAACCTTAAGTTGTATTTTGTAACTAATTGAAGTTTAGGTGCATTTAATACGATAATTAAATTACAATATATAAAATTAAATTAAATAAAAAAAAAACAATTATAATTTACAAGTGATAGATGATCTATTTGTACAAAAATTAACATTTACAATTTTCAAAAAAACATTTATTTTGGTATTTTATAGACATGATTTGATAATCAAAATATTTTCGCTTTTTTGTGGTATTTATAGACATTTTAAAATGCCTAATTTTAAATTTTTTTTGTCTATTCATATATTATAAAATTATTCTTTTTCGGTAAAAAAGTATGAAAATGTAATACAAGATTCTTCTTAAATTGTTCTTCTAGCAATTACCTAATAAATAGAAAAAACCTTCTGAAGTTAAAACTTTGACAAAATCCAACAAAATCACAAAAACTGTCAAATTATTTCGTGTTAGAAATTCATAAAAATTTGTGACACCCAAACCCCCGTAATTACGTCACTGTACACACAATGAAATTTTGAAATTTAATTTTTTTGGTAAAAATTAATTTAACCTACTGTTAGTACTTATCATACACTTGGCACTTTTACTAATGCCTATACCTAATAGTAAAATAAATTTAATCAAATATACTTAATAATATTATAGGCTGACAAACCGTCTTCGCTCAAGTTTGTTTTCCATGTACAATGATTTTATATCATTGAATTCAAATTTAATACATCCATTAAAGAGACTCTATATATAGACACCTAATGTACCTACAGCAGAGCGTTACCCACTTACCCGATTTTTATATATTTAATTTATTCATGTTACTACTAGACATAAAAGATGTTTTTTTGTATAAATTAGTTCAACATACCGTTTTCCTAATAGAAAAATAGTAGGTAATATAAATAAATTATAAAATATCCAAAGAAATATATAAGCCAACACCAGAACACCTCATGTGCTGATGCCTGATGTGCCCACTCTATCGTTTTTCGATAGAATTCAAATTTCACACATCAATTCAGAATATATAACCTTGATATCTATACTATATACGCATCAGCAGACTGACTTCTCTGGTTTTATATTTTATATACTATCGTGAAGACTAATATTATTTGATTGATTGACTTCTCGGTCATCGCAATAACTTGTAATTTGTAATACATTTCCAATATATTTTTTTTATATCATTTGAACAGATTTTGGATTTTACACATTCATAATATCATATTGTTGCACAATTTTTAGACGCTATTTTTTAAAGCATTGAATTACCAAAATACGCGGAAACAAATCGACTTCTCTCGTGGACCGGTATCCAATTAGCAGTCATTGTGTGCTATGCAGGCCACGAACCGCCCTAATAAAAATAATAAAATAAAAATATGTATTGTCAGTTCAAAAAATAAAAAGTCTTACAGCTATGAGTCCTTGAACAACTCTAACAACCACGAGTGCTTTATAGTTGAATTTTGCCGATGCAGGTATTACAAATGACAACATCGCCGCCACACCGTTGGTGAACCCAAACACGGTTTTTGTACCATATCGTTGAGCCAAAACTCCGCCTGGTATTTGCATAAACACGTGCAATGTGAAAAATGCACCCAGAATTACATTTTGCTGATATTCATTCCATTCGAATTTATTGTCCTTGATAATTAAGTATAATAAAATAACATACGAAGTAATAAGGTAAATATGTAGTACTGTAGTAGACTAATATAATGTTTATACGGCTATACAGTATATAGTACAGCAGCCAGTAGGTATATTACAATAGTAATATATAACTGGCTATAATGGCCTTATATTATGTTACGGTGAAAGACGGAAATTGGTGAATGTCGTCATTCTCCGGTCAATGACGTCATTAACCAAAATGATTCAATTATGTAGGTAAATTTTGTAAAAACACATATTTTAAACTCAAATATATATGTTTCACCGGTCATTGACATCATTTACCAAAACTTGTGGTAAATGATGATAAATCTCAAATAATACACTGATTGTTTTAATATAGATACTATTTAATAATGATTTATTGTTGGTGGGTGATTCATTTTTGAATCTCATTATTTTTGATTTCAATGAAATTAATGAAAGGTTAGGTTAATTGAAATGAATAAAATAGGTGAATATTATTATAAATTATTTATTTGTACAGTTTTGTAACTAACAAAGCTTTGTCGAGCACCTAATACCTATCCACTTATCACTGATTGTTCACACCGACACAAATGGGATGACACCGTATCGGCTCTGTGTAATTACTCCTTACCGTCAGTTAAGTGATCGTATTGCGTCCCATTACGTTTACGTATTGTGATATCTAGTTAATGACATATAATGTCAGTTATATAAAATTATAAATATTATATTGATCAATTTAAACAAGGAAAAATTCCCAGAGAGGAGTGAGTAAAACTTTCACTCAAGTTCAAATCACAATTTTTAACCTTCGTTTTTTTCAAGTCAACACTATTTTTTAAGTTAAAACTATTTTTTAAAAGTCAACACAATTTATTCAAGTCAAAACTATTTATTAAAAGTCAACACTATTTTTTAAAACTCGATACAATTCTTCCCATAAATGTATTGAACATCATTCTCCAATTAAACTGGGGATTGAAGTCAATAACCGGGGAATGTCTACATTTACAACATTTACCAATTTTTAGGTAAATTACGTCATTTACCGGGGAATGACGACATTTACCACGTTTACATCATTCACCGTAACATATATATGACGATTGGTTGAAATTTTAATCACCAAACCGGAAAAGCTCAGATGCAGGATCATGATTAAATTATTATTATTATTATTATATATTTACATTTAGATCCGCCGATGATTTTTGTGCAAAAGTATTGTTCGACTTCAACGATTCAGTGTTAATGAGACACTCGTGTATAATCGTTACATTCGTTTTCGGTATTGAATGTTTAATCATTGACACTATGACTATATTCATATTCATTCGAAACATGTAATTAATGGCAAACCCCCAGAAAGTCATGTACCATAAGACTGTCCGTTCTGTAATATTATTTTATATTAATTTAACATAGGTACTTAATTAACGGTGGTCGTCATAACCGCACATTTTACATAGTTCAATACCTCACACAATTATTCTATTATTAAAAAAAGGAAATTTGAAAGGTCGATAGTTCAAAACACATTAGATCTAATGCACACATTAGATTGACAGTTAAAAATTAAACATATTTTATAGTTATTAAAAAAATAATTTAGTACTAATTAAAAATAATTCAATATATAATTCAATTGAAATAGGATCAAAGCCGACCGACTAACTTTTCGCATTTTTTGAGAATTTTTAGGGCATCAAAATCCCAACCCTACTTATCAGGAATCAGCATAAATTCATTTTAGCTACCCAGCACATTACTATTATTATATTATTACTACTTAATGCCTCGTGGAGGACCTTGAGTTTGGAGACCGGAGCCGGTAGGTAAGTTAGCCACATATTATACTTATGTAACTTTAACAGACTGCCCATAACACTTTGTTTAATTCCGAGGCATGCCCAAGGTGATTTTACACAGCAAATCGAGGCATATTTTCGATTTTTTTGTTAAAAAACTTAAAAAAATCTGTTATAGCGCAGCGCATGACAGTCAAATTTTTAACATTTTTCGAATTTTTTCTCCTCATTTAACATAAAATGCATGCCTAAGTTGACTATGGTAACATTGTGCGCCGTTCATCACAAAATTTATTTTTATGATTTTTTTTGATCTCGATTAAATATGATTAACTGGTTTGAGGTACTAAACGATAATGTTATTTTAGATAAATGTATACCTACGCTATTGATATATTATATCAATGTGTGCGGCATTGAACGGTATGATTTGGGGAAAATATTCAGGGTTAAGGTATAAAAGTGTGAGGTTTTGAACGACGACCTTTTTTTTTAAAGTGTACGGTTATGCCCTTAATTAATAGGTACCACCTATGTATACAGCGCGTATATCCCAAAAGTCCCCTATTAATATCTAAATGGAAAATCAATATATTTAAAATTGTTTAGCAATGTTTTCAATGTGTTAGCAAAACACGAATCGTATCATTTAATTATACACTACAATCTCGATCGGAATGTGATTTTTTGTATGACAATCTGTAAATATCTAATTATGAGTAGAGCTTTGCAAAAATATATTTCCAACATTATAATAGTCATTATAAGTTATAACTTGTTAATAACACAATTATGTTACCTGTTTCAAAATATCGAAACATTAATAATCTGTTAAATGTTTATAGGTATATCGAATAGTGGTCATCGAAGGTTTTTGATGATCTGGATATACTAAAAAATAAAATATAATACTAATAAATAAAAAATAAGTTTTACCATGTCGATGTCGCCTACCTACACTGCAAATCATTTTTTTTAATTTAAATCAAAATAGGTATGATTATTGATTATAAGTATTTTGTATGAAGTAAATTATCATAAACAAAATCCCCGTGATCGATTCGTGTTCTGGTAACATAACTTTTATTCTTAGAAAATCAATAACCTAATTTGCTTTCTTTTTGTCGACTTTCACTCTATTTAAAAAACTTCATTTTACTCATTTTTTTTTTAAATTTTTGACGTTATGGAAAAAAATTGAATCTCATGCCAATCAATAAGAAATTTTATGCTTATTCTATAAAAAACTGCATTTAAATATATTGATTTTTCCACGGAGATACTAAGGTTGATACGAAAATGTTCAGTAGCAAACTGCAATATACCTTCAATCTGTACATTATATATTTAAAAGAAAAAAACAAAATGTTACTTACTCTCCATAATGGTTTGTGTTGAAGAAAAATGTCAATCACATTCACATACCTACCTTGTACCTATTGCAGTTTTATCTATGATGAATAAATACCAACAGGTAAGTACTTAATCAGTGTATCAGACATAATACATGTAATTCCTTCTTAAAAAATCAAAATGATAGATTAAACAATAAACATACTAGACTATCACTATCAACGACTTATTAGTAAAATGTTTACTTAGTAGATGTTTAGATGTTTATGCTGTAATTACATAATCTACCGTAATAATACTAATTACTAAGGATTAATTAACTTTTAAAAATCATACCATAATATGCCATGGATATTCTTTTATAACTGATAACGTTCACTGTGTTTAAAACTATTATAAAATTCTGATAAAATGTAATTAAAGGTCTAACAAAACAATACAATAATACATCCATAATTAGTTATTAAAAAATAAAAGTGTATAATTGCCATTGATTGATCGGTATTCTTCTATAAAATTGATTATTTTTTGATTATAAATGTTTTACTATTTTAATGAAAGGAACTTTGTTACTTTACGAAACACATTTTTAGATTCTGAGCGGAGCGATGAATGTATTGGTTTTACAATGATGTGTGTTTTTTTATTTTACTTTGTTGATTTTTTAATCAAGTAAGTATGGTAATTGAAATGAAAAAACTTTGAATCTTGAAAACTTCAAGAATATGTGGTAAATAGGAAAATAATAAAAATGTAACTCAGTAATGATGAGTAGGTGGGTAATTTAGCTAGCTTTAATATAAAATATTAATGAGAGAGATATGATATCACACCCAAGCGGTATAACCACTTGAATCCATAAAGACGTCGGCGTGAAGAGTACCAAAATGTCTATTTTTTAACTTTTCTCCTAAACTATGATACCTAGATTTGGTTGATAACTCATTATTAAGGGATTATCAAGTAGATACTAAATGTGGAATTTTTCACGGATAAAAAAAAGAGTTATTTTTTGCTAGATTTCATTTAGCGACGTAGATTTCCGAAACTGGAGAACGGATTTTTTTGTTTGGGGTCTTGTTAGATACACATTAGCTAGGAGAAGTGCATTGAAGATTTTCAGAACTTTATCTCCAATCGTTAATTCACGACAAAGCTGTAAAGCTGAAAAGCATCAAAAAACGCCCAATAAAATTTGTTTTAATTTTTTTTTTATGTTCTTTAACTATTAAATATAAAGTTCTGAAAACCTTCACTGCACTTCTCCTAACTAATATGAATCTAACAAGAAATCAAATAATCTGCTCTCCGGTTTCGGAGATCTATTTCACTAAATGAAAATGAAAATGATCTTTTGAGGGGCTGTTCACACCGAAATTTTTCTGGATTCAAATTGTTATACCACTTGGGTGTGATATCAGTTAATCCATTTCTAAAAATTAAAAATCAAGAAAGTTTACATGCCGATCCCTGACTTGGCAAGCGTTTTTTTTTTAAATTTTTGTGTCTGTGTACACGATTAGTGGGCGAAATAATGCTTCGATTTTCCACTTCTGTACCTTGTTCGATGGGAAAGTGAATCTAGTTGGTGCATTCGGGAGGTCAAATTTTAAAATTCCCCATAGTTTTCAAAAGCGCAGGGAAAAACAACATAAAAAATAAAGAAAAACAGGAATTTTTACGCAAAATCGATTTTCCACAAAATCGGTATTAGATTTTGGTGTAACTCTAAAACAAATTAACGTATAAACATGAAATTTTCACTGGTCATTTATATTTGTATTTTCTACACACAATACAATTTTCAAAATATTTTTATTTGTTTTGAACTATTTAGGAACATTTTCTGTTTCTAATTTTATTAGTCTTTTTTTCTATGAATGTCAATAACACTTTATTTGTTGGGTAAAAAATAGAGTGAAAGTAAAAAAAAAAGCAAGGCTCCTGATATATTGTTACAATAGCAGTTGAAAAATATTCAAAATACATTTTCACAATTTTTTTTTTATAGATTTTTAAGTTCAAATTTTCAAAAAATTTATCACATTTGAAATTTAATAATTATTTTGTGGTTAAAAATGTATAAAATGTTCAACTTTTATAGCTAAGGATTGAAAATTTAAACAGGGTTCCACGTAAATAGATAAATATATAAATTATACTTGATTCAAAATAATATCATCAAATATACTTAGTAATATCATAGGCTGACTGACAGTTTTCGCTCAGAATCGTTTTTCTTATACAATGATATTATATCATTGAATTCAAATTTAACACCATCCATTACAGTGACCCACTTGTAACCTACTGTACAGCAGATTGACACCCACTTGCCCACCTTTTAGATTCTGAGTGGAACGATGAATGTATTGATTTTACAATGATGTGTTTTTTTATTTTATTTTTGTGTCTGTCATCACCTTTTAGGACAGTAAAAGTACTTAGATTTTTTTCTAAATTCTTATAATTGAACACCCGTATACTAATCTAAATGTCTCACGTGCATGTTAATGGCACGTGTCAATGTGTCATCGGCAGTTCTCCACTTTTTTAGACATTTTTTATAGGTACCTATATTTAATATATTATGTACGATAATATTCAAAACGATTCGTCTGATGATCTGCACTTGGCTCCCTAGATCACCTTATCTTACGCCATGACCGCATGTAGCTAGGTACTTCTTTTGAGGACATGGCAAAGATCGCCGTACTGTGTACCTACTAGTGCTACTACCTAAGCGGTCTATATACCACGCCCAAGGTGGATATATATCCACCTTGACCACGCCATTACTTTATCAACCACAGATGAGCTAAATAATTAGCAGAGTGCAATAACAACGAATGTGCATTGAGTGAATTTGAGTTTGGACAGTGTTATATATATTCTTTGTATGACCAAGAACACATATTATAGAATAAGTATATAGGTAAACTATAGCCAACCTGTACCTACACACACCATTAATTAAATTTGAAATATTATTGTTTTATTTAATATTATCATACCTATAATATAATATAATTATAATATTACTATTTAAACCTATAAATACTATATAGTATATTGTGTGGCAAGGGCGGGAAGTGAACTATATCAGTCACAGACGACGGCCCATTTCGCCCAAGACTGAAATTGCCTTCCCCCACGAGCCACATATACAATTTTTTGTCACGCCTCTGCATTCATCCATCACGGAAAAAGTAATGCAGGGATCTAGGCAACAATACTAGACTATAATTATTCTAGTATTCTACGTCAACAATATTTCATGAAAGAAACAATTTGGTTTTATTTATTTTTGGCGTCACGCATATTGGAGATTACAATATATGAATATAAGATGTAACCAAAAGTTAATGTTTTGTAAGGACCGTGGTATAGATATTAGATTTCAGTGCACTTTCGGTGCAGGTGTGACAAAATAGTACCTATATTGTGTGGCAAGGGCGGGAAGGGAGCCATTTCAGTCGCGGGCGACGTGTTCGCCGCATTTCGCACAAGACAGAAATGGCCTTCCCGCGCGAGCCACACATACTATTTTTTGTCACGCCTATAACGATATATGCGCCAGGCACTTTTGGGGATTTCCACTTTACCGCCCTCTGGACGGAAAAAGGACGCTTTCGAACGCTTCAACCGCTATCGAAAACCAAACTTTCGGTGCAGGTGTGACAAAATATATATTTTAGTAATTGATGAATCATTTTGAATTACACTGTTGGTATATATAGGTACTTATATATTTATGTTGTGTACTTGTGTTTATAGGTAGGTACTAAATAGGTAGTATAATATATTTTAGGACATTTTGATATAATAAAATATACCTAGGTACATAATATTGGAAGTGCAGTAAAATTCCTAATTTCCTAACTTTAATTAATGGTCTCGTGTTACCTATTGTTTTTTTTTCCAATAAGTCTACCTATGTCATATAGGTAGGTACTTATATCATACTGATTATTTAAGTATAAAATATTTAATGAACAGTGTAGACCAGTGGTTCTTAACCTTTTTTAGTTCAGCGCCCCCTTTATCGTAATAACTTACTGCTAACGCCCCCCCTCATATCGAAATTTCTTATTTATTCATCAGTATATTACAGTATAACATTATTAATTAAAGAAAAAACTCTTATTTTTAGATAATAAAGGTTATATTTTTCACCATTAAACAAAAAAATTTTACTTTACTATACAAAAAGAATTACTTAACTATGAAAAAAAAAAATTATAAAATATAAAAATTATACCTATCAATGACTGCCCTGAGCCTGATGAGTAGCTGCTAACGTGGCGATGTCTGGTTCGATATTGGTCAAAGCTAAACGTAGATCACCTTTGTTACAAATGTCCAACCGATTTCTTCGTTTCGTCAAAAGCTGAACAACAACGCTGAATCCTTTTTCAACTTGCAAGGTACAGTATACAATAGTCCAGTTATGGTTGAAACTTGAAAATGTAAAAATAAATTTATTATAAACAAGACGTTCCCGATACGTAAAATGCGATTAGATAACATTCCGTATGTCGTTGTATCGTACGCAATTACAACTATTCTGATTTCACGTTCAATTATTTGTAGTGTTGTTATATAATATTAATAAATTGTATTATTTTTAATCTCCGAGTTTGAAAAATCTCACCGCCCCCTCAACGCCCCCTTCAAAACTATAGTCCCCCATGGAGACCAAAATGCCCCCAAGGGGTAGCGCCCCCTGTAGCGGCAGCGGTAGCGCCCCCGTTAAGAACCACTGGTGTAGACCATCGATAAAAAAAGGTGGGTAAGTGGATATCGCTCTGCAGTAGCGCAACCAGAAATATCCTTTGGGGGGGGGGGGGGGTCCAAAATTATATTACAATAGATATAAACATAAATAATTGTGTTAATAATAAATGTATTTTTTATTTGTGTTACCATATTAATAATAAAATGTATATATAAAAAAAAATATAATGAAAATATATCAAATAAAATTATAAAATAAAGTCTAAACGACGCTTTAAATTCGATAAACGCTGTATTACTTCTTCGGACTTGACGTCAATATCATAGTGAATATTGAGAGCAGCTAGTCCATTCAATCTCAATTCGGACGTTGAGTTTCTTAAGTAAGTTTTAATGCGTTTGAGTGTAGAAAATGATCTTTCAGCTTCGCAAGATGTGACAGGAAGTGTGACCAGTATTTGCAAAAGCTTAAAAACATTTGGAAATAAATCTGAATTGCAATTATTCAATATGTTGATGGCATTTTTTGTTTTAATGTTACTATCATCTAGATAACGATTCCATAGTAAAATTTCTGATTTCACAAGATCAAAACTATCAATGTCATTAGGTACTGTAAAATTCAACAAGTTCTTTAAGTCTTTCTTCATTGAATGTTGAACTGTTCATTAACATTTGGAATCCACTAATAATGTTTTTATGATTTATAAAACGATCATTCAGTTGTTGAATGTACGAATCAAGAAAAGGAATAAATAAAGCTATTTTGAAATATTCTTCAGGATCATTTGTTGAAATATTTATGCGGTGTTTTTGGCGCTTAGCTAATCGAGGAATTTCAATTTTAATTTCAAAATCATTTAATCTTTCATTAAGATCATTATATAGTTTGTTAAATTCAAGACTAACATTTTCTCTTATGGACATTAATTGTTTTTTCACTAAACTTATATGTTCAATAGCGTCAACTAAATCAATATTTGTGGTTTGTAAATACTTACATAGCGAATGAGTATACTGAAAAATATAATTAAGAATAGTCAGGGCTACATTAAATTCCGATGCTTGTAGTGCTAATAGAAGTTGATTTGCTTTACTTGATGTATCACTGTCATTCCACATAATTATTTCTTCTAAACAATTTAAAATTGCAGGGAAAAATTCATAAAATGTTTCAATTGAGTTGGTTAACAAAATTTATTATACTTACAATATATTATTATATTCCCAAATTAATTAAAAAATGTTCCATTTTATAAATACTCAAGGGGGGGGGGGGGGTCTGGACCCGGGGACCCCCCTTTGGTTGCGCCACTGTCGCTCTGATGTACATTAGATTACAAGTGGGTCACTGTAATGGATTGTGTTAAATTTGAATTCAATGATATAATATCATTGTATAAGAAAAACGATTCTAAGGGAAAACGGTTAGTCAGCCTATGATATTACTAAGTATATTTGATGATATTATTGTGAATAAAGTAATTTATATAAATATAATAAAAATACTAGTACAATATTACTATATTAATACTATTACATGGAACCTTGTTTTAAATTTTCAATCCTTAGCTATAAAAGTTGAACATTTTACTTTAAAACATATAGGTTGTCATTTGAAAAACAAAAGTTGGTATCGCCAACAGGATACCCCTTACATGTTGTGAAATCTTGTACTCGAAATTATCGTCTTTAATGACACATAAAAATTCAAAAATCAAAATTTGAATATATGCATAATTTAAGCATAAAAATGGGGTGAACATGCTTAAAAAATTACCCTGTCTATAATATTAGTTTATTATTTTATTACCTTTAAATAGGTGCCCGTGTCCCGTATTGGTATACCTATTCTTATAATATTATAGTTACCTATATTAGTTGTATCGCACATTCGTACAACCAAGGGCGTCCGCAGGGGGGGGGGGGGTTGGCTATGGCATAAATATGGTACAACACTACAACTGGGCCCGCAGTTATTGCTATAATACACAATTTAATATACAATTTTAAAATGGGAAATAAAATATTTGTATTGTTTTGCATTACATTAATTGTCTTTTGCATTGTCAACACATCATCGCGAAAAGTGACGAAAACACTTGGCTTGAACGAAGGTGCGACGGTTTAATTTGTATGCATATAATGTGTGCATAATATGTTTTTTTAATATTTTTAAAATTTTATAGTAACAATATATCAGGAGCCTTGTATTAAATTATCACGCTTTTTGACCCAACAAATATAGTATGTCATTAGCGGTTTTATTTTTTCGATAGATCTACTCAATAATTTTATGCTGTAAAATATAAAACTATAAAATCATTAATTTTCGGCAGATTAATATAGTTTATAGTTTATAATTTATAGTATAATTATTGTAGGTAGGTGTATACTATTGAAAAAATAAAACTCTAAATCATATGTAAAAATGTTTAATGTTGCAAATTTTAATTTTTTTATTATAATAAATATACGTCTATACTGAATGGTGTCTGTTCCATATATAGGTTGCTGTTTTGACTATAGAATTATGGACGCCGTGTGCGTCCTCCATTATGCGGTTATGCCTCGAAAATGAAAAAATTATTTTTATAATCATACACACACATTTGATTCAGAACAATCAAAAGTCGAAACCAAAAGTTTTCAGTTCCACCTTCCCCATAAACTACTCAAGATAAGGCGTTTAGCTCTGTAAAGAGCCAAACACATATTCAGTATTTCAGTGGCGTATATAGAAATAATTTTTGGGGTGGGCTATAGACCATAGTAGACAGAAACTTGCAAGTGATCTATTACTTAGAGGCTATACTGTCTGCTATATATTTAACAGTTTCTATGAATATATTCGTATTTGTTATTTTGTGGCCTTGTGGGCTGCAGCCCACTGTGCCCACCCCCTATATACGCCACTATTTGTGTATAAAATTCCACACCACCTTAGCGATAAACGACAACATTGGAATAATGAAGTCCGTTTAAATGCATGAGGTATTATACATGGCGCGTTTTTTTTATTGTGGTGTCCCCGTTAAGGCCTAATCCACATGTACAAATAAAGTGTCAATTTTATCCACACTTTCACCACAAAGTAACTTACTGTTAATGATCAATTGTGGATACGTTTTTATTTTTAACGTATCTATATAAGAATTGTTTAATAGGTACCTATGTGTTTTGACAAAGTACCGTGACGGTTGACAATAATTAGAAAAATAATAATGTAATGATGGTAAAATTTGCAAAAGTCTGCTTGAGTTTTTTTTTATATGGCGAATTTGTGGATATAATTTTAAATCAATAGGAAATATTATAAGAGTTTAATTATTTAAATTATTAAACGCACGCACTGGTGAATTATAATTCAAAATAATTTATTTCAATACAGGTATATACTGTTAATTTTTTCTGCCAACACCCATAATAAAGTTATAAGTTACACGCGGGTTCATTATTAGGAACTTTACTTTTTTTAATACTCCCATATGGATATTGGTGAAAAATGTAACAGTAACAACAAACCAAAGTTAGAATAGTGGCAATAAATATATAAACCATTCAAGTAATTTTAATTAAATTAAATTGACACTTTATTTGCACTTAAACTATTATATATAACTTACCAGAGTCCAGACTTACCTGTAGAAATATTTATATTATTATTTAAAAGTTATAACTATATAGTGCTTGGAAGCTATAGGAGCCAAAAAAGGAAAAATATACATGAAATATGCACAACAAAATTGAAAAATATGCATGAAAAAATGTTAAAAATAGTTTGATAGCAATTTTAAACTCCAAAAAAGCCATTTTCTGTTGTTATTAAATTGTACTAAAAGAAATGTAAAATTTGAAAAATAAATTTATAATATTTAAAATATGGTGAAAAACTGTATGGCATTTGGATATTGTATTGAACTGAAAAAATCAGTTAAAAAAATATATTCGAAAAGATAGTAGGTACATCGGAATATAGGAGTGATACTAGTGATAGAGATTAAAATGCATATCGCACAGTTTTCGTTAAAACATAAATGAATAGTCGATTGCGATGATAACAATAAATACCTACCTACATTAATAGGGAGTTAAATATTCAATATTATTATTAAAATAAACGGCTTAAAAAAGAAAAAGATTAATTAATTTTTTTGATAACATATTAAAATACGTATGAAGATCAAGAAATATACAGTTTTTCCCCTAATATTTACGAAATATGTGAAAGTTGCATTTTCAATAGGTACCTATTCAGTTTTTAAGCTAAACTGACCATTGTATGGATCGAATTTTTTTAGCTTGTTCTATAAATGTTCTATAAATCAAGAGCATAATATAGAATAATATACAACTCCTATAGTGTATATATATACAGTCCTACAACTTCCGAGCCCTAATTAAAACATTTAAAATACTATCCTCATCATCGACTATTTTCATTTATATGTATTATTATGAAATATTTTTAAATCATTAGTGCATTGTTAAAATTAAGATTTCATTCTCTTAATGAGAACTACTAACAATGCGTTTTAAAAAATTAAAAAATTAAAATCCTCACTCATGCATTTCTAATCATAACCAGCGAGAAGGGAGAGAGATAAGGATTGCCGTAGGACCTTTCCTTTTCTTCGGTATCAACGACGTTGCTGAAATTTCTTGAAAATTACTTCGACAACTTTCGTACTGGCTGCAGTGTTGAATGTTGATTGTTTTGAGCAGAGGAAAAACAATTAAATTAATTTATAACTTTACCTTAAGTTTAAATACTCAATATTAAATATAAAATTAAAAAAAAATCAAAACAATAAAACTTACTATTTGGATACGTATTTCAAACGAATCGCAACTATTATGGTATAAATAAACAAATAAATTCTATTCGATTAAACATTTACGTATACAAAACAATATAGTCTCCTTTTTAGCCAGCACGGTATTACACTTAGGTATATTTATTCACTATAGCTAACATAATATTATTATAATATCAATAATGTATGTATGTATGCATGTCTGTATGTATCGTAATTTATTTGTATTTCAAAGTAAAAGTTATTTAACCTAATTAAATATGTGTAAGCAATATACACATTATAACTTACATTATATCATTATATTTATGTATAATGCAATATTTATGCATTCAAAACAGTTTAAACCTAGTTTAATGTAATAATTAATAGGTACCTAATAATTAAAACTAAAATTAAATTAAAAATAATATTATACTAATATTATTCTAGTTGTAACTAAATATTTGTAGTTTTTGGTATAATTTTTACAATTGGCATTGAATCTTGCAACGACAGTTAATTTACAAAATCGTTTGTAATGTATAATATCGGTACAATAATACAGTTATTAGTTTTTGAATTACAACAAAATAACAATATCGCTACATTAGTGAATATCCAATCTTGTCAAAATATTAACTTCAAACACTCATAAAAATTTAATTATTTGAGTTGATTGTAGAGTTTTTTTTAACTTATGAGGAATCTTGTATTACATTTTCAAATCTTAAATTTTTTTTTTTTTTTTTTATTTTTTAAAAGAAATATACCATCTGTACCCAGAGACACAATAAGTATATGGGCTGATTTACAAAAAGGCGTGAATGATTTGTTGGAAGAAGCCACCCAGT